TGTAGCTGTCCACTGGGTGTCCATTGTAGCTGTCTGGGGTTTCCCGGGTAGTGCAGGCCAGGGTCAGCCACCACCTGTTCTGCCTAAGACCACTCAGCATGAGCTACAAAGCAGCCTGCATATGGCTGCTACTAGTACTGGGCTTGGAGGTTCCTAGGTGAAGCCAAACTGAGATCCAAAGCTGGCTGCTGCTAATGTCAAGCCTGGGGCTGCTTAGCCAGAGGTACAGGGGTGGCAGCTTGCTGAGGTTGGTTGGTGTTTATTTGAGAGGATTTATGAAGATGTAAAGCCTGAGCCAAGACCAGCCACTCATATGGAAAAGCCACCCTTGACAGCTTGGGTAGGTCAGAGCCTCAGGGATTATCCAGGGTGGGGCAAACAGTGTTAGTCAGGGTGGTGGAGTCTCAGATATGGCGCCACCCTGCCAGCTCTGTGGCTCTGTGGGGGAAGGACTCAGAAAAGGAACAATGGCCTCTGCCCACCTTTCTGTCTGGGAAGAAAGCTGTTTCCCAGCTCTTATCCTGATACAAGACACTTCAGTTCCTCACCATGTGCCACTGGTACCTTTTAAGTTGCTACCCTGGTGTTAGAACTCGGAGTAAGTCCTTGTGTGAGCTTTTTAAGATGAACTGCTTGGGACTCCAGCATTTCTTCCATCAACTCAAACCCCTCTGTTTTTTTACACCCAAGAGTTATGGAGGCTAATCTTCCTGTCACTGGAACCCTGGGCTGGGGGATTCTGGTGTGGGGCTGGGACCCCTCGCTCCCAAGATATCCCTTCCGAATTTTTATCCACCACACGTGGGTGTAGGACCAGCCCGTTCCACATATCCACCTCTCCTAACAGTCTGGATGGATATAGTTTCTTTAGTTCCTTAGTTGTCAGACTTCCATTCAACTGGATTTCTGATGGTCCTGAGTGATGGTTGTTCTGTAGTTTAGTTGTAATTTTGATGTGGTTGTGTGAAGAGGCGAGCCATGTTTACCTATGCCTCTATCAACCACACCTTTTATTTTTGATAAAAACCTTTTTTTCCACATGAAAAATTACCCAGAAACCCTAGTCTATAAAGCATGAGTTCTGTTCTGGTTAAAGTGATTCTAGGGGCCAAATCTGATGTACTCTGCATAGATTTCAGCCCCTTTAAGGACCCAAGAGGCCCCACCCCACAGAGCTGTGGAGTCAGGGGGACAGGCCTCCAAGCATGGACAAGCCTATCCGCAGGTTGGGGAACTAGATACTGTTGATTCCTCTAGTGTCTCACACAGGCAGGTGGTCAGTGAATAGATATTAGATTAGTGATTGTGACAGTTTTGAGGACACCCGCAACTTTTGCTTTGGAAGGATCAGGGATACCTAAATATCAAACCTTTCAACTTCCTCATCAGCTGATATGTTCCTGGTTCCATTTCTGTTTAAATGCTTTATACTCCATGTAGCTATAAAAAGTTTCTAGGAAACTCCAAGTTCGATACAGCTGATGAATTGAAACCATTTTTCTTTTTTTTTTCTTTTTTTTTATTTTATTTTAATGAAACCATTTTTCTATGGAGGAAACTAGATGTTACAAAAATAACTCTTTTGTGTTTTTCTGTGAGTGCCTTAAATCTGTTTGGAAAGTAGATGGGATTTAAGTAATGGATAATACTCATTAAATGAAGTTATATGCAAGTCAGTTATGTCCTCTTCCAGCTAAAGGATTTGGCAAAGGGTGAGAAGGCAGCCATCATGACAAAGAATAGTGCCTCCTGGCGGTGCAGGGGAGGGGAGTCACAGAACAATTTTATATTATACTGCTGCTTGGTTATATTTCTCTGTTTTCCCACTATGAATAAAGAAAAAAAGGAGATGTAAAAATAAGAATGTTGAGAAAGGAAACTGAAGTATCTTCCCTAGATTTTGATATGGAAGAGTATGAATTGGTCTAGAGCTTTGGGGCTGATAGAGAGCAAAGCGAGGCTATGGCTGAGCCAGGAGTTCTTTGAGGCCAGGCCCTTCCGGCCAGATTAGGGTTCATTGTGATTAAAGTGTCACTGACAAACAGTAAGAAAAAACGTGAAGCAGTATTTCAGGCATTTAGTTTTCAAACACCTTTCAGTAAAAAGAAGTGGTTTTTACTTGTTGATGTTGCATACATTTAGTTCATTAATAAAGCTATACTTTTATGACAAATACCTTAAGTAAACTTTATACTTTGCTTAGGCCACATTTCTGTGGCCATCACCACACTGTGGTAGCATGGTACCTAAAATTGCAGGTCAGGATTGTTTAGGAAGGTTATTTTAAATGTTAGAAACCTCCATTGAAGGTTAAATCTGTAAAACTAAGGACCTAACTCTCCCGCTTAATGGTGGTTTTTGGTGGATGAGGAAACTGGAAGCGAAGCCTCCATTATTCCCTAAGGCCTTGACTTGTCTCTGTTGGGATTGAAGAAGGGCCCAATAAATAGAACTTATCCTCCTCAAGGAAAAGCAATGTAGAGAGACAACAAAGTCCAGATTTGCAGATGTAAAAAATCTCCTTTATTACAAATAAAGTAGATAGTGTAGAGCAGGGGTGTCAAACTCATTTTCACCAGGGACCATATCAGTCTCGTGGTTGCCTTCAAAGGGCCGAATGTAATTTTAGGACTGTATAAATGTAACTACTCCTTAACAGTTAAGTGAGAGCTTGGCTCTGCTGCTGGGTAGAAACAAGGAGCCGGGCTTGAATTCAGCCTGCGGGCCTTGTGTTTGCCACCGGTGCTGTAGAGTGTGGCTTGTGGCTGCAGGCAGACAGGTTTCCTAATATTTGACGGGAGAATAAGACAGGCCTCCTAGGGATGCCACCAGCTCCTTTCTGGGAAAGGAGCAGAGCAGAATGAGTTCTCTGCCCAGAGGGTGGCTCCAAAGAGAAGGGTAAAGTGAGGGGTTAAGACAGAGCCACATATGTCCTGGCTCACAGCCCCTGGGTATCTCAGCACATTTTTTACAGTGCCCCTAGGCCAAAAGAAATAACAAACAGTTCCATTTATTAAGTTAGTTAGGTCTCCACAACTCAATAGGAGTAGTAAGCTAGGTGTCTGACAAGTGTCCTGTGCTTCTCCTGAAAATATTCCATGGAGCCCCTGTGTATCTGGTATGGCACCTAAGGCACTGTGGTTCATAGTTTGGAAAATACAGTCTCCTTCAGAACTCAAAAATAAAATTAAGTCACTTCTTATTCTCTTAGTAGAGTGAATGAATGAGGGAGTAGAAAAAAGTCTGGGAGCATCACCCTAATGGAGCTTCCTCCACAGGGAAGAAAACTTTAGGAAAGGGCAGAAACATACTCTTGTCCCAAAGTGTCACCAAAGTATCCAGGTTTCAGCTCAGAGTTATCCCAGAGTTAATGTGACTCCCAACCTAGGAGATGGGACAGTGTGGGTAATACTTAGAAGCTAAACCTTTCAATTTTCTTAATACCACACATATATCAGGAAGAGAAATGGAAAATGAGGTGATAATCCCAGGGATGCAGGTAGACTACTACGTTTCTATAGCCTGCCCTATATAACCACATTTTAGTTTTGCATGCCTGAAGGCAAATATTATGAAGAATAAACTTGTTTTCACCGGACTAAGTTAGATACAGACTGTCACTTCTACAGAGCCTCTGGGCATAGTTTTTTTTTCTTTGCCCATAGCTCTAAATGGAAGCATAGCCTATAGAGAGAAAAATGAATAGCTGAGCTTTTCATGTCTATTTTGATCTTACAATGAAATGGCCACTCCATTATAATGCGAGACTTCTATTAATAATGAAAAGTAATATATGGTAGATTTCTAATCATAAACAACTAAATATTTTCTGTGTATTCCTGTCATTATACCACAGAACCATGCCCTGGCTACATTTATAGCTTGATTGGTCAAGTGTGCATTTCAGTTAGTCAGACTTGCCTCATCAGTGCAATACCAGGATTAGCAAAACATGAATTGTTAAACATCCAAAAAAACTTACCAAAGAAGTATTTAATTTCTTTGTGTTAAAATTTCATTGTGCCAAACTGAGCACATAAATTTAAGAGCTTGCAACATGTCATTGAGAATATTTTATTGTTTTGCCTGTATAACAATATACCTCCTCTACCTGACCCCGAAAAAAAAAAGGCACCTTCCAGGATGAAGTGCTAGGAGATTTGCTCTGAATTACTGCCTTCAGAAGAGGCAGTGTTGAGTAGAACACCTGACGTGAGAAGACTGGGTATGGCTGTCACCACCAAGTGGGCTAGTCACTCAATGGGAGATGCTGGCAGAAGAACACCTGTTGGGGGAGGTCCAGAGCTCTTCTGAAGAGGCCTGCCGCACAGGACAGTGCCCCAGCCTCGCTTGCCATGCTACAGACACTTCCTGTGTTCCCTTTTCTTTGCTCCTTCCTCAGGGACTACCAGCTGCTGTCTCACTCTGCTTCTTCTCCCACCCCATTTCGATCTGGGTGTCCTCAGCTCTTGTTCTTCTATTCAGCTTCACTCCTCCAGTGGTCACCGTAACTTACAGGAGCTTCCTCAGAGGCTCAGGTTCCTTGTCAGTAAAATGGAGGGTAATTGATAACCTCTGCCTACTTCATACAGTGATTATGAGGCTCAAATGAAATGTATGTTAAAGCATTTTGTTAACTGCAAAATGCTACATAAATGTCATGTGTTATAAATCATTAGCTGGTCTATTCCTCAGCTAAAGCATTTTTATGTATATGTTACTCACCCTCTGAACAATTCTTTGTCAAGTAGCAAATGTAAATGCTGCTGTTTTTTTCTGCATGGATTATGGTGGTTCTTTTGCAACTTTATGATGTAGGCTGAATCTTTAAGTACTCCTTTGGCTCATATTGCTTCCCCTGAACACCCATGCAAGATCATAATCCATAAAACACAGAGGCAATAACTCCTTTTAATTGTCAGGAGTTCATCATTTGCTAAGTTCTAACTGCAGTCACTTAGACACTTGTCTTGAAAAGCCTGTCTCTGTGTATTCCATAGAGCCGAGACTGTGTGAAACTGGGCCCTCCTGCCGAAGGAGAAGTCATCCAAGTCAAGTGGCCTGATGGCAAACTCTATGGGGCAAAATATCTCGGATTGAATGTGGCCCACATGTACCAGGTGAGTGTTGCCCGGTGTCCGATGCTTGATGAGATGGACAGGAGGAGCCAGAGGGCAGAGAGTATATCCAGTGTGCTACTGAGCAATAAGTGATATCAATATGGGGTACCTCTTAATTTGTAAAGGAGGCAACGATTGATGTCTGATGACCCAGGTATTAGAGTTTGTTACCATGTCTGACACTGGAAAACCCTAATGACATTTGGTGAATGGTAAGGACAGTTGTTAGGCTGCAAAAATAAGCAACTGGATGCAAGGCTACTTCCTCTGTTTTCATCGTATAGGGAGAGACTAATTTATCTCACCATGAGCCAAGGTGATGGTGTCTGTACATGAGCCACTAGCCCCTGAATTTGTGGCATTGCCTGAGAGACATGGCCCCCATTGGGCATCTCAGCAAACCTAAACCAATGGTGCAGATGTGGCCAGTTATACACCCAAACTTAAAGGGGTGCTGTTTGATGAAAATACAGCTACCAGTTGCATATTCTGCTCACGAGAGGACTCTACATTTTATTGAAGAGTATACAAATAAAAAAAATGAATTTCATCCCTATCAAAAATGAGAATGGCATAAGCTTTAACGAGAAGACAATATGGATAGCACATGTACATTTATATTCCTTTACAAAGACTTTAATGGAGGACATATTTATTAAAATCAATATTCTGTAGTATTTTCAGTAACACAATGACAGAAATCAACATTTTCAGGCTAAGTAGTATAGTGAAACAGGAAGATTGAAGCAAAAGGAGAAAAAGCAAGAAGGTTCAGGCCTGTTTAGCTAAAAAAATTTTGAAAATAAGACTGCCAATTTCAGCAGAAAAGTTGTTCAAAGGCCAGTGAGGGACAAGGACTTAAATGGAAGAATACATTGTAAGACACTGCATCAGGAGCTGGAGCACAGTGAAATTAAAAGTGTTCAGAGAAGTTGGAAAACTTAGAGGAAAACATTTTGTAAAGTCTAGAAAAACCTGAAAAGAGTGGGGAGAGGAATGAATATAGTGTGTGTGTGTGTGTAGGCAATTTTTCCTTTGGTGTTGGTGGCAATTTTAAGTTGCAGGTTTGGGTCATTTATAATAGGGTGTGTATTGGAGCTTCTTTACATCAGAATGTCCAAAAGTAGACAAAAATCAGAAGATAGGTTGACAATACGGGAGACTCCTAGAAAAGAAGCATTATTACATCATTCAGAAGAAAGTAATTGCATTTAATTAAACAATAAGTGCAAAAAAGCATCTCACATGTGGCAAAGCTATTTGCTACATGGAAAGTATAATAATATGAACATGTTGAAATTCAGTCTAATTAGTAATCAGTGTGTTAGCTTCAGTTGAATTTATGATGGACTGTCAACATAGAACCATGAGCATATTTATAGACATAATGAAAAAGTTAAGACTAATATTAAAATTGTCTCTCAAGTACAAGCAGTTTAAAATTCCTCATTAAACCGGTGGCCTTTTGAGATTATTTTGTGTTTTGTGTCTAATTATTCAACCTTGCCATTGAGTAGGCAAAGACATTTATAAAAATAGACATAACTAAAATACCTACTGCACAGTGATAAAAATCCTAAGCATGTGTGTTTTTGGACCCTTATAGTAGCACTAGGTGTCTTTTACTCTTATTTTACAAATGAGGGCAAAAAGGATCATTGAATTTAATAGTTTGTTTAAGGGCACACATCTAGTAAAGGGAAAGGCCAGAATTTGCTCTCAGTTCTGTCCCAACTACAGTTAACAACCCTCCCAGATTGCTAGGGACAATCCCTGATTTTAGCCCCGAGTCCTGCATCCAGGAGACCCTTCAGTCCTGGGCAAACCAGGACAGTTGGTCACCATAGCATACTTCCCTGTTTGTTTTATAATTACCCTTTTCTCTTGTAGATTTTTCAAATAATCTAAAACCAAGAACGGTAGGCACAGGTGGTTCTAGCTATGTTATCAGATTGTGTAAGTGAGATGACACCTTGGCCTAATTAAATATTACAGAAACCATTCTGCTAAAACAAGGCCAGAAGAAAAGCATTCTCTCCTCAGCCTTCTGAGTGTAACAGGGAGAGCTGGCCTGCGACTGAGACCTGATTCCACCCTGCTGTTTCAGCTCAGTCAGATGTGAGTGGGGCATGGATGATAAGTAACTATGTATTTTATTATAATAATAGTTTTTAAACTCCATCATATTTTTATTAACACAGCTCAGCTCCATGGTTTAACTTAACCTTTTAACTACAAGTACTAGCATGCTCTTATTTCTTAAAAGTAAAGCATTCGGACAAACAGACAAGTTAGGGACTTCAAAGATATTCTGAGTGGTTCAGAGTTAGAGCATGTTCGGAATTCTACCGTTTGCATCCCTTTTGTCGTTTTCCCCTGAAAGAGTACACTTGGGGTTAAACCTGAACCAAGAACAATCCCTTCGTGATGAATTTCCCCTGGATGCCCTACATTTCTGTTAACCAGCATCACACCCTTTTCTCTGAAAATTCCTAAAATGTTGGAAAAAATTGATTCTGAAATTATTGCTTCCATTTGATTAGCTTACAAAGTTTTTAAGCATTTTCATTTGAGGTGGTATTTTTGCACATTAGTGGTTTAATTGTTATGTGGGTGAGATGTGAGATTTTCCTGGTCGTTTGGTTGAATTTGACAAATGTGAGTGCTGAACATTAAAGCTCTGTAAGAACTTGCGATATTATTTTATCTGAGAGGATTGTTATGTCATCATTTCTTTCTCATAGAGAAACAGCTCTCCCTCTTATATCGTCAGAACCTCATAAAGGAACATCCGGTACTGTTAGGCTTAGCCTGTCTTAGATTGGCCACATCTCAGGTTTTGAGAAATCCCTTGAGCAGCAGCTACTTTTCTTTTTGCTTTGGGGGGTAAAGTGTCCATATCACATATTCCAAGACAGTCATTTTCAAGAATTTCAGCTTGTTTGAAAACATAGTTTGTTCTTATTTTGATAAGGGGAAGACCCTTTCTTCCTTCCTTGGCTGTTGGCTGATTCCCTTGTTTGTTCTGCTTCACCGTTTTTTTCTTTTTTTATGTCACTAATTGGAACACTGAAAAAAGTGGTCAGTGTTTGTTTTTTCATATATTTCATGATGTTTTATTTTTCATAAGGTTGAATTTGAAGATGGATCCCAGATAGCAATGAAGAGAGAGGACATCTACACTTTAGATGAAGAGTTACCCAAGAGAGTGAAAGCTCGTTTCGTAAGTGCTGGCACAAGCCACTCAGGGATCTGCCCTGTGGTTCCCTAATCCTCTCCCAGCGGGAAACGTGCTTAGGCCTCCGGGTTGATTTTGAAGAAAGTCATTGCAACTTTTCCCTTATTGAAACCTATTGAATGTAAACCTCAAATTTTACCCAAATCAGGGAAACCAGTGTTGGTTCCTTATTTTTTTTCTAATGATGCTTCTTTGTGTTAACATTTAATGGCATACACGGTAGTTGTTGAAGGTGTGCTCTATCCATGTAAGGCACTGTGAGCATACAGAGATACCAGCAAGGCATTTATGGTCTTGTTAGTAGAAGCAACAGTAAAAGAAAGCTTTCGGTAGTAGATTACAGGGGACTCACTCAGCATAAGTGACTGTCTACTTTCCTGTAGCCTTATCATATATTGATTAACTTCTCTGCCTTCTGTTTTACATGTAACAAAGACCTAAAAACCTCAATAACTTGTCTGTCAGAAGTTTGTTAATGTTTATGTCAGTTCACAATTAAAATAAGCTCTCACTTTTATAACAAAAGAAATAAAGAAAGCCCAAATGCTAGTTGTGTGAATAATGCTAAAGCAGTGCAGTAAAAAAAAGAAAGTGCTATTGGTTTCAAGCCCAGCACATACCATTAAAAGACAAATAAACATGGAAAAATAATAAAAACTGAAGTCGTTAAAAAATATAATTCACAAAACTTAGTTTTCATATTGTATCATAAAATATTTAGTGGACCCTGAAATGAAGTCAGGTTTACTCATTTAGAATTTCATTCTGCTGCATCTGCAAAATGATAAATACTGAGCAGGGAAATTTTAATGAATGGGATTTTTCTGACTGAAATGAAAATTCTTTTCTGAATAAGTAACACCCTTAGTTTTAGTTAGTTGCTTCTACTAACAAGATTGTGCATGCTTATGATATACTTTTCTGCAGTGATAGAGTTACTGTAGATTGATTTGGAAAAAACCATGGGTTTTCTTAAATGTCCAGTTGTATATTTAGTTCCTTTTCCATCAGGTGGGATCCTGAGACTAGGCAGTTGCATCACATGTGAACTGACTTTCCTTTTAGCTGCATCCCCAACAGGAAGTTACTTCAAAGTGAAATAGCCAAGAGAAGAGTGATAGTAACCATAGTGACACCCACCCAGAGGGCACATAGGAGACCACATGCCTGACAATAGATTAACCACTAGATGACAAACTGCAGAGAAAGAAAAAAATCAGATACTTTTATTGTAAAGACATCAGCTAAATCTTAACAAACCTAAAAAACTGAGTAACTTGTCAGTGTTCTAGGTCTTAAAATCTGTTGAGAACAACTTTTCATTTGAAGATGCTGGAGATAGCTGCCTCTCATTCTGTGCTCCTGTCTTCCATGGTTTCCTCCTCCTCTCCCTTCTCCTCTTTCTTTTTTTTTTTTAATAAAAAAAACCCTTTTTTTAAAATTGTCCAGAGATTTTGAGGATGGGAAATGGAGTAGGGATCCCTCTGGAAGTCTGTCAGGTCTTTGACTTTCTAATCCATGTACCATTAACCATCTACGAGCCTGGCCTGGTGGATTTCACATACTATTACTTAATCATTGTTAAAAGAAATCTTTCTGCTTTCTCCTGTGAGATCACAATCTCTTTGTTCCACATTAGACTTTTCTCCAATATCAGGATACTCTGTCATGTAGCTTTATTTGAACTCAGCTCCTGCGTTTTCTAAGGTCCATTTCTCTGAATGTTTACACCAAATCCAACCTTCCTTCTTTAAATTTCTAGAGGAAAAAAATGTTAATTAAGAAAAGATAGTGAAAAATACATTATATATATATAGTCTGAATGTAACCTGTTATGAAACAGTTGACCCTAGTAGAAAATTTCTTCAGAAACAAAGGTTCGAGGTTGCTAAATGCAGCTTATCCCCTCTGCTTTTACTGAGTCAAAGACTTGGGCGCTCCCGTTGTGGCAGACCGGCTTTTCCTTCAGGTTGGCGTGTAACGCTCTGGCTTGTGGTTAGTCTGTCTATGACTGCTCTTTTTTTTTTCCAGTTGGCAAAACAAAACTAATTGGAAAACTCATTGATGGAAGATATTTATAGCTAGAGAAATCTCTCTTGTGTGTTTTAAGCAGGGGTGAGTTAGCAGCCCTCGCTGGGAGGCCCCCATGTTTTAATGACTGTGCTCACCCAGACACACGCTGACTTGGAGAGAAATTTTTCAAAAGAGTCAGCAGTCCACCTCGGTGATTGTGCTGGGTTCTATGCCACTAACTTCAGAAACAGCCCCATTACTTTTTATTGTCTCACAGAATAACCATAGCAACGGTGCATAATTAACTACAGAGAAGAAGAGCTACTGGTAAATTGGTTTTATTATTGTGTCTGAGGGGCTGAGTTGTCTCTTCCACACTGTGGCAACACCTTCATGGATGTTTTATTTTCTCCTGTGATAACTTTAGCATTTACAAGAGGGAAAGGTCATTCAAAGGAAGTACTTCGCCAAGAATAAATGAAACAAAAACTGTTTTCTCCCAGTGGCAGAGGGTGCCCACCAACCCGCAGTCTTCCCTGGTGAAACCAGGTCGTATCTGGGGGAGCCCTGGAGGCAGCCTGTTCACCTGGATAATCGTCTCTAGCTGGCAGGGAACATGCCCAGTTGTGTACTTGGGTCCACTTTTTAGTTTTCAAGTCTCTTTGCAACTATTGCATTGTTTACCTCTTCTTCACGACTGACTATGTGTTTTCAAGCCCTGAAAGTTAGACTGTGTTGCCTCTGTCACCAACCAGGGGAGTCAGCCTCAGTGACACAGTAAGATGCACTACACGTTGGAGTTATTGTGGACTTCGCCTGAGCGTAACAGAAAAAGCCAACATGCCTTCCCCCAGCTAACACTTACTGAACAGTGACCGAGGGCTGAGCACATTGCCTGATGTTGAGAACATGTAAAGTCTGGTACTCAGTCCTTCATCACCTCACCCTCACCGTGGTGAGTGGGTTAGGAAACCCCTGATGGGGAGAAACTTACTTGTCCCTCATCCCTGCCATTGTCCTCCTTCCACCACATTAACATGTAAAGTGTTATAGAAGCCCAAAAGAAGGGCCCTCAAATTTGCCTGTGGCAGAGAAGATGGAATATCTCCCATGCAGAGGAGACAGTGCATCTAAAGATAGAAATGCACAAGAGAGCCAGTAGTGTGGCAGGGACCTGCAAACCAGTCAGTCTGACTGGACCATGGGGCAGGATTCTGCTAGGTTATGAAGGACCCGCCTAGGGAGGTGGGATGTTATCTTGAAGGCAGTGGGGCTATTGAAATATTATAAGGTTGGGTGTTATTTAGTCAGAAAGTTTATAGAAAATGGTCATCTCCTGGTTCTACAGAAAATAGCTGGTGTGTGTGTGTGTGGTGGATGGGGGGTGGGTGTAGCATTTGTTTCAATGCTTTAGAAGAGGAAGTGTGAGGACCTGCACCACAGGGTCAGTAGAGTTAAAGAATAAAGGATGGAGGGCTTCATGTAGGAGGGGGGTCCTTGATAGGCTGGGGGCAGGGGGGAGTTTACAGTGACTTTTAGGTTTCTGATCAGTGTAGCTAGATGGATGGGAAGAGTTGTGCCATTTATGAAATATAGTCAGGACAGCAATGGAGAAGGAAAAACTTGAGTTCAATTTAGTACAGGTTGATTTGAAGTGCCTCTAAAATAAGAACTCCGAGATGCCTACTAGGCCATTGGATATGTGGGCTTGAGCACAGGAGGAGGTCTGGACTGCAGTGACAGGTGTCAGCATCACAGGAATAGATGCAGGAATTGAAGCTGTAAATAGTGGGTGCAAAGACTCCGGGTACATATGTGGAAAGAAGGCCACATGCAAAATCCCGGGAACATTAGAGGTGAGCAAATAGTTAAAAGGGGGAACCCCTGAGACATCCACAGTGAACAACCAGAGGAGGTGGAGATACAGGAGGAGGGGCTTATGACAGGAAAGTGTTGAGCAATAATTGGGTGACAGAAGAGGCAGATAGTTTTAGGATAGAAAAGTGTCATAGGAACTAGGAAATGAGCAAGGACAGTTTCAGGGAGGTTGTCAGGGCAGGGGCCCAGAGTAAGTAGGAATAGGAGTGAGTTAGAGATGACTGTTGACAGATTCCTCAAAAATCTATGTGGGCAGGAGCCAGAGGGAAGACAGAGAGTGAGGGAGATTTAAATGGGAAGACTTCAGTCCTGCTTGTATTGGGGAAAGTCCCTGGGGTTGGAGATCTTGAAGAAAGAGGCTCTAGATGGAGGCAGGAGACTGGAGTGGGCAGGAAGGTTCCAGAGCCACCTGTGTGGGGCCCTTCCATCCTGGGCTGGTGACCTGTCTCTGGCACCCCATCTCCTGCTGTCTGGACCAGATCTTTGTACATTCTTGTCATGTCAAATGCCATGCCCTTCTGCAGTGTAACGCTGGCTAATTTTAGTCCACAGCCTCTGATATGCGGTTTGAAGACACATTTTATGGAACAGACATAATCCAAGGGGAGAAAAAGAGACAAAGAATGCTGAGCTCCAGATTTAAGAATGAATACGTGGATGACCCCGTGTACCGCACTTTTTTGAAGAGCTCTTTCCAGAAGAAGTGCCAGAAGAGACAGTAGTCTGTGTGTGCTGCTGCAGGACCCAGAGCAGCTTGGGCCAGAGAGGAAAGGCGAGGGGACAGCCATGGGCTGTGCTGTGTGATCCCGCAGTGGGTGACAGAGTGGCTCTGACTGGAAAACTAGGCTTCCCGGGGTGTGGTAACCCAAACCACAAAATACACACGGTATTCATTGGGTACAACAACCTGGAGTCATCCCCTGCTCTTGCTTTCACTTGCGAGCCATTGTCTTTTATGATCCCAAAGGATTTTTCTAAGTGAGAGGAAATAATAGTGAATCACCCACCAAAAAAGCCACTGCCAGAGGAGATGGGTCACCAAGTGTGGCTTAGGCCCCTAGTCAGGGAACTCCCCTCCCGGCCCAGTGGTGGGATCCTCAACACCCAGGTGGGAGGGTGATAACTTATATATTTTCCACAGTCAGGGAAGGACTCTCACTTATTTGTTTCAAATAGCATTTTTTATAAAACATTTTTAAAGCGCAGTGGCATGTATGGTAATGAGATTTACCCGTGTGCTATCTCTATTTCCCTTGTACAGAACTTTTGCATTTTTTTATATCCCTATTGTTTTCGACTGTGTCTGATGAAAACTAAGTTGCTGGCCTTTGTGAAATTTTTGGCTCTTGAGAAAGAATTCTTATGAACTGTATGGGAATTTTATATATTTAAAGAGGGAAATCTGGGGCTGTTATTTTTAAACACTTTTTTTCATAATACATATTCTGAGTAGATATTTATAAAATGTTTCTTTCATTATGTGTTTGTAAAATTAGAGTTTAAATAAATATGCTTTGATGCATAATTTTGAATTAATATGATTTTTCCTTTTTAAAACAGCCTGAAAATGTACTAGTGTTTAAAAATAAAGATTTCCATTTTCTCCAGTTCTGTCTTCTGACTTGCTTATTCATCTTGGTTTCAACCAATAGAAAGACAAGTTTTATTTGGGAGCTGGCCATCAAGAGATGCTGGCACACAGGTTTGTCAGACCCTCCTCTTCCCATGGACTTTTGTAAATCACTGTGGACAGAGGTCCGAACATTTATGGCATATCGTTGGGATAAAGGCTTTGCTGCCTGCCTGCAGTGCCAGTGGGAGTGCTTTCCTCAGCTCCTTCATCTAGGCTGGAAGAAATCTGAGCTCCTGGAGTCTGCAGCTCTTTTCCTCCCTGGTTTCTAGGTCCTCAGTTACCATTAGAAGAGACTGTATGGATCCTCCCACCCCTCCGCCCACTTTATGGAGGATGAGTCGGGAATAGGCAGGCCAGGGATAGCCCAAGGTCACACAGTCCCCAGCAATGCTTCAGTGAACTGTGGCCACAGGGATGCTGTGCAACAGCTGCAAAATCTGTGGCCTGTGCAAGAAGCACTTCTTTCGCTTAGGAGTCTGTAGATTGGTGGATCCAGGCTGGGCTTGGCTGGCAGCTCTGCTGAGCTCAGCTTCGGTGACCTCACATACGTGCTCCACATGTCTCCTGTCAGCCCACTGGACCCCCTGGGTCACTCAGGTAAGGTCTTCTCAGGTCAATGGCAGAGGTGGAAAGCAAGTGAGCCCAGCTGAGTGAGCACATTTCAGTCCTGCCTGTGATGTTGGTTAACATCTCGTGGGCCAAATTCCACAGCCAGGGATTGGAGGGCATTTCAGAGTTTTGTGGCAAAGAGTGTTCATGTATTGGGTTACAGGGCAGAGAGTAAAGAGCCGAAACATTAATCACAGAGCCACAGTTAAATCTCAGTTCTCTGGACCAAGTACTGGCTGAGCGCTGAATTTCCAGTGCCTCATGGCTGAACTCTGAGCTGGGGAAGAGCCCACCAGCCTTATTTTTACAGACTGAGCACTTCACATTCTCTACTAGTATAGTCATATATTTTATCAGGTAATCAAGCTTGCATTTTCTATCTCTGGGTTTTGAATAGAACTGACCTGCTGTCTCTTTGATATGCCAGGAAAGTAGATCTGTGTAAGGCATTAGGAGAAATTAATCTAAATAGGATCATTCGTTTTGTACATGTTGGCCTGTCAGCGAGATTGCTGATTGGCTGCCACAGGCAGAGACTGTGCAGAGTCCTGTGTGATTTCAAATACAGCTGTTTTTTGTGGTCTCACTTAACTAATGTTCACATAACCAAGTACAGCTGTGTATGCTCTTTAATAGTGCCGGCCACAAATGCACCCCGGCTCTTGAGAGAGACACCTTTATTTCACTGCAGAATGTCATTATTAGTTCCATAACCAGACAGACTGTTAAAGCTTTTTCACTTACTGTCTGACACCTCAATTGTAATTTTTATTTCTTTGCATTACACTAACTGCATTTTTAGTGTGTATGTTTAGTGTGAAATCAGTTGAAGTCCTTCTAGTATTAAACAAAATTTTGCTAGTTATAATTCTAGTGTAATTTGAAATACAAGCCCTTTGTCTGGAGTTTAGAGGATTAGTAAAAACTGCTTGACATATTCTACAACATTTTAGTTCTTTTATGTATGTTTGAAATGAGAACAATATGATCCTTACCAGTTTGCTTTTATTAAGGTATTTTTGTTTAGTTCATCTACAGAGAAATTGAGAAGCATCCATACTAAATGATCACATGAGTTCTCAGAGTGCATTATAAATCGCTACTGGGTAATAGTGTATGAAAACATGAGGACTCCGAATGTAAAAACATGTCCAAGTAAAGGGGTCCGCCTCTTCTCCCCACGCCCGTCCAAAGTGGAACAAGGACAAAGTGGACTTGTTGCTGCAAATGACCTGGGGGCCTTGGAGGAATCATATGGGAGCAGTATATGCTGCACAATAACATTATACTTTATTTTTGCCCATTATTAAAAAGTATTGGAAGTGAAACAATCTTCATTTCAGATATTAATCAGCCCCTTAAACTTGAAGCTAACTAGAGATCTTGAGACATTCCTATTACATGAAGTAGTTGGTTGGTTGTAAGACTCACTCCATTGTACTACAGACTTTCTGAGAATCCACATGGCAGTCTTTGGAAGTGTTATGCATTCTGTCGCCCAGCACATTGTAGAGACGTAGCACTGACGTGGGAGGCCTAGACTCTCCATCAAGTGGGCTGACAATTCAGAAGCCCCATGCTCCATCCCCAGAAGGTGCAGCTCTCCTTAGAAAATGAACTTCAAGAGAAGCTGATACTAATGATATATTGAGCATCTATCGTGTATACCCACCCTGGTAGGCTTCTTACTGGCATTTATCTTATTTAGGATCCCCAAGAAATTAGCAAAGTAAGTATCATTCCCCTCTTCCATGGACATGAACTCCCAGAGAGGTTAAATAAATTCTGAATTATTCAAAGTTCTCATTTCATAAAAGAAAAAGAGGATTCTAAACCTGAATCAAACAAAAGACACTGGATGGACCAGTCTGAAGCTAGAAAGCCAAGTTAGCACTAGAGATGTAAATAAGGAAGGCATCATCTTTATTAACAATACATGAAATTTGCCTTTTGGCAAAGGCAAAACTGTAGGGACAGGAAAGAGATCAGTGACCGCCTAGGGCTGGAGGTGGGAAGGGGATTGACCACAAAGTGGTATGTAGGAACTTCTTTGGGCAATGAAGATAGTGACCTTGGGGGAAGCATTTCAAGTGGTTTTAGGTGACAAATCTATTAACATTGAAATTTGTGGTTTTTTGGACACACATCCTCTCTTTTTTTTAAAGTATTTTTTCCTTTAATTTTCAGAAGTTTGATGATAGCGTGTTTTAGCTTTGACTTATTTGGGTTTATGTTGTTTGGAATTTGTTCAACTTCTTGGCCTTTCAACAGATTTGGGAGATTTTTTAGCCATTATTTCCTGGGATATTTTTCTACCCTCAAACTCTTTCTTCTCTCCTGGGACTACAATGACATAAAAGGTTCTTGATGATCTTTTAAGTCTGTTTTCTCTGTTCTGATTGGCTAAATTCTATTGACCTGCCCTCAAGTCCACTGATTCTGTGCTCTGTCATCTCCAAACTACTATTGAGCCCTTCAGTGAGATTTTCGTTTTGGTTATTGTATTGTTTAGTTCTGTGATTCCCATTTGGTTCTCTTTTACATCTTCTGTTTGTTTGCTGAAATGTTCTATCCTTTTCATTTGTTCCAAGAGTGTTCATAATGGTTCATTAAAGCATTTTTTTTTCTGATTGCCACTTTTAAAATCTTTGTCAGGTGATTCCAAGGTCTAACTCATCTTGGTATTGGTGTCTGTTGATTGTTTCTCTTTTAAGTTGTGATTTTCCTGTTTCTGGCATGATCAGTGATTGAGCTGTAACCTGGACTTCTGCAGTATTTTGTTCAGAAGACTGGATTCTATTGAAATCTTCCCTTTCAGCAGGCAGTCACCCCATTTTGGTTTAGTGCACAGGTCCGGGCCTACTTTGGTGGGCTGTGGTTCCAATGACAATTTAATTTTCAGCTCTCACAGTACTCCTCTGCTCTGCTTTCTCTGTGTACTACCCAGGAGCCGCTCTGCAAGCCTGGGTACTCGTCCACACTTCGGCGCAGTTCTCAGTTTTTGGTGAGTTAATGTGGGTCAGTTTCATGTGTGAGTCAGGCAGAAAATTCCTCTGCAGGTTTAGAGAATTCGTTTTTCGAGCACCGTGCTCTCCAAGATCCTCCCTCCAGTCTCTGCTTAGGAAGGTGAGAGATGCTGCCTCTCCATCTCCACTGGCAGCATGCCGGCAGGGAGAGAAAGGCCATCTGGGACTCCCAGTGACACCAAATCAAGGGGCAGGGGTGCAAATCCAGACGCCCCACTTGGTCTCCACCAAAACACCCCTGTGGGGGCAGGGATCCCCCAAGTGAGGGGCAGAAATCCCAACTCCCCACTTGGTATCTACAGAGACCATTCTTAGTGTGTGCAGGGTGTATTCATTCATGGGGGTAGTGTATTGACAAAAAGGGTTTTGTCCTGCTGTGCTGCTCCTTTCTGGCTCCTTTGACTGGAGACAGAAGGCTTTTCTTAGAGCTTTAGAACTCGTGTGTGTGTGCGTGCGTGTGTGTGTGTGTGTGTGTGTGTGTGTCTGTTGCTGGTGGTTCCACTTTGCAGACTTCTTTAGTTCCAAGTTTAGGATGTATGAGAGATGAAAAGAGAACTCACCCCTGTGTAGTTCCTATGCCCTGAAGTCCCTGGTTAGTCTGCCTACCTCTCAATATTTCACGGTCCTCTTATGATTGTTTGTTGTATTATGTCCAAGGTTTTTAATGATACAAAGCCAGGAGGAGCAGGGAGTCATGCCTGTCTTGTCCAGAAGAAGAAGTCCTCACTTTTTCTTTAATATGAGAGAAAATAGTTTATTGCTAAGAGCAAGGGACTACTTTAAAGTGGGATATTGAGGATTTAAAGGGAATGATTGATGGAGGAGTTCTGAGGGAGGAAAGGGGATTGGGAGCAAATGTGGAATCGTTGGCTTCGCACAGGGACAAATAGGTTTCATCTGCAAAGACTGAATTCCTGGTTATAGGAGCGGAGATGGCAGGCTATAGACTTGTTTCAGGAAGGGGCTTCCCAGGTCTGTTGCCGTATGGAAGAGCGTGTGAAAGAACTGAAGGTGCTGGAGAGGGTATTTCTACTCATTAGTCTGTGTTGAATAAGGAAGATAGCTGATGTCACGAGAGGATTTCTTGGGAAAATACAGCGGGATCTAGGAAGTAGATGGCTGTAAAAGACTGACTAAGTCCCCCTCCCCCCCTTAAGATGCCCATAGCCTAACCCCCAGAATCTGTGAGTATGTTACCTTACGTGGCAAAAGGGACTTTGTAGTTGCTATTAATTGAATTAGGGGTCTTGAGATGGGAAGACCATCCTGGATGATCTGGATGGGCCCAACGTAATTACAAGGGTTGTCTTAAAAAGGAGGCAGGCGGGTCAGAGACAGA